CTAGCAAGCAACTTTGCTTGAAGCCAGTAACGTCTTTACAGGTCAGTGCTTGCGAGAAAATAGATGTCTGGATGTTGCCGTTACAGCAGTTATCAAAAGAACAGTTGGTCAAGACAAATGTACCTAGTGCATGGTTGTTCTACCTTGGTATTATTATAATAGTCAGATATACGATTGTGGTTGTCTACCGACAAGATGAAGACGCAGTCCATATCCTTGAAAGTGTTTAAATATTCCAGCGCATTAATGGGAAAGTGGACATTTCCGGCTATTGGTAAGAGATAAACGAGGTCACTTTAGACTCAAAAGACGCTCGTTCGAAGTGTACTCTGTACTGTCTGTTATTTCAGTATATATGCTTTGGTAGGCACACATTAATCAATAAATGCTGTTAGAGATGCTGGGAAAAGAGGATTAGTCTACTTCCATTTGTTTGAACAAGCAGTTTATTTCATTTCAAATGATCACCCTTATTACTGGATAATTGACTATTAGTTCGGCATTTACTCTATAGTTAAATAATCTAGCTGTTTTAGCACCCTTGACGCTAAGATCTAAGAAGTAAGTTTTATTTTAGACTGTAACATAGTTGATAGGTTTATTAGTTTAAACACGCTTATCGATCAGTCCCTGTAGACATACTTTTCAATCCAGATAATGAATGAATCAACGTCAGACCACCATTGAAATCCTGGAGGCACTAGATGCCCGTTTTTCCACAGTATGGGACGCGCATCCACAGTCCTGAACTCGGGGTCCAAATCCAGAACATTCAGTTTCGTAGATTGACCGAAGTTAGACATCAACACCGTTGGGTGCCGGCCTACTGGTCTAGACATTAAGCGTTCGCGCGCAAGACCAGAGGACTCGGGTTCGAACCCCGAGCACGGGTTTGTGAATGGGCACTGTTAAGGGATCCCATACTAGTGCAAAGAGGCCGCCCAGCATTTCCAGGCTTTCAAAGGTGGTCTAACATTGATCCATTCCTCATATCAATCAAAACTCAACAATCTCAACAACCCTACACTGGTACTTTTTATTGCTGATACAATTTGATGACCGAAAGTTCTTCTAGTTTCTCCTTTGTGTTGAGTTTATGATCATGATGGAAAAGGTTTTTATGATCCCCCTTTTATGGCGTGTTAGGGAGATATTTTAAGGCGATCCATACTTTTTTTATCCCTTGATGTTGTAGCTGACAAATGTCTTCCAGATACTCAGAACACAAAATAAGTAATAACACTTGATACATTTCATCGCAGTAACTAAAATTGTCTTGTATTCCAAGTGTTTCCATGTGTAACGAAGTGATAATATTATCAGATTACTATTCTAACCAGAAAACTAACATGAAATTACTCTTAGTGCAGACTGAACAGTCCAAAAACTTTTAGAATATGAAAACTCTCTTACTTTCAGTACATATGAAGATATTTCGTAACTGTTTCGTCGTAAGACGATATTTTATATAAGAATCATCACAAAGAATGACAGAAGCAATTATATTCAAACGGCAATATCCATCTGAATTCTATTGAATATATAAAACTTAACTTAATTAGGTTTCTACACATTATTCTGTATGAAAACTCAACAGTAATAATTCTCGCCAAATGAAATCCCGATGCTTCTAATAAGCACAGTACATACATGGCAACTTGAATGCGACAGAAACGGTACTAATTGAGAATAGGACCCTCTACTTCAGGGTTAGTCAGTGTACAGAATAACGAGGTTGTTTAGCCAGATTACTGGGTTTGTTAAAGTAAATAATTTGCTGACCAAAAGAGATTCGATTTATACTACCTGTTGGCGAGACTGTAATTTATGAACGAACTAATCACGTATAAGATAACAGACAACGGATTTTGGAACGAAATTCACTTATTCATTTGGATAAATAGCGTCTTGGCATTTTAGCTGATGTCAATTCGTGATAAAAATACCCGAAATCTAATTCCTACCCTAAATCATCAACTGCAAACTATAATTATAATTCCTCACACACTAGTTTATAACCCTCATTCGGTCCTTGTTATTAGGTGGACACTCAAGGTCAGTCTAGCGTCACTAAAAAGGTCATCCATAGATTATAGACTCACTAAAACAACCCCAAAATTAAGTCTAAATTTGTGGTTGAGAAGTCTTTAATTAAGCATTGTGCATCCATATACATTCTCCGAAATGGTATTACACGATGAGTAGGTGAAAGATATGTTAACCGTTGTTAAGTTCAGTAATGGCATCAAAATTTGGTACATAAGTTGTAGGAACAAAATATTTGCTAACGAGCGTAAAGATGAACGGGAAAGAATATGAAAGTAGTTCATCTGTTTAACTTCAGTAAGATTTTATTATATGGAGTGGAGGTTTTCAAAGACGCTTTTCACTACATTCTTTTTACTCCTAGTATCCTCAGTTAGGAAAAAAATGTTTACGGGTGATGAGAAAGGTTACTGTTGTCTAGGCAGATCCAGATATTATGCCGAATTAGTTTGTCAAAGACTTCGATTCGTAGGCTCTATAACAGGGACTTACAGCAACAACGTGTATTTACTGATGAGATGATTTGAAGCATGAGTATGTTTCTAAAGCGAGTGCTCTTCCATTTTAAGACAACAGGCAACTAATCTTGGGGAAATTCAGTACATGAAATATAAATAATTCTGTGATACTTGTACGAACTAATGATTCCATTATACTTGGTTGCCCACTGATTTCGAATCCTAAATACAATACATTCGTTTGTACTCATCTAGTTCTGTTTGGCTTAAATTGAACTGTTCCGGGAATTCATAATTAGCACAGAAATTCTAATACTTCTAATTATCATAAAATCATAGTTTTGTTCGGTTTCAAGTATAAATTATCCATTCTTATACACTTATTTGAGCTCCTGGAAAATACCAAGAATTTCTTGAGGATAATTTAACGGTTAAAGTTCATATCCGTAAAATAGGTTCACATATCAAATTTTAATAGCTTAAAACACGTTAACGATTATGATGGATATAGCTGTAGCAGTGAATAAATCCTCAAAATAAATAGTTCCATGTCTTCAATAATGATGTTGAACTTGTTAGTTTTACTGGAAACACCCTAGCTGATATCCGCTCCTTTGATTACAAAGAATTTAATAGTCAAACAGTTTCTGGTGAATACCGGTTGTCATATATTTATCTATTTGCCGGTAATTTAAAACACAAAAGTGTTCTCAAAGAAAGATTAGTTACAGGTGATTGGAAAGACGGTTTAAATACATTGGAGAACAAATTAAGTGTTCCTCAATTACTAAACCACTGGGGTGGGATGTTAATATAACCACCTTCCTACCCTCAATGAAGCTTTAAAAAACTATAGCTGAAAGCGGCAAGCATTAGTGAGTTAACCTTAGGGTTTTTTAGTTATCTTTAGAAATCTGTCTCGAATCCACAAATCTGTATCATTTTTAGGTATTATATTTTCTATACTCAATCTTTTTCTACTACCACTAATAATGTAACTAACATTATACCTCGTTAAGCTGTAGGACCTTGAATCGATCTGCCTATGCGCTAGGTTATGCGTTGTGATTGACGACAGACTGACTATATGCTATTACTTAACCAAATCTATTAGAATAACAGAGTACTTCAGGTAGATATGGAGTTTAACCGGTCATTCTGTAAGTATTATAAGCTGTACACTTTCGCTAACAGTATACATTACGCTTCATCTATAATCAATTCATTTTTAAATCTGGCCGTCCCATCTAGAATTCAATATCCGATGGTAAAATGAAATAATTTCTTAGAAGTTATGCTTCTAACTATTGGTTAATAAGCCACCTATGGATTATATATTCAAAGGCCATTTTCTTTGTTGGAATTTGCAAAAGAACCTTACTGATGATTGAGGATATTGAGTTATATAATATGAATATGACCTCAGTGTGGTGTAAATACACTAATCCACTTTATTGAGCCCCTTACTGTTCCCATCTCTAGGGTTTCTTTGTTTGTGGTGAAGCGTATATACATGACATCAACCCATGGATACGCTAGTCGTTAGCTTGGGCCATGTAAGTAGGCGCAAAATACGTGGTCAGGGTCCGCGTGATCATTGTAATCACTAGTTAGAAACCTTGAGTGAAATAGTTCAAATTCGTTTGTAATTTAACCTTATCGGAAGCATCATAATGGTTAGTGAAATGTTCTACTTTGATGAACACCTGTTTCTTTACAATACTCACTTCTGATATTGATGACTGCCTGGCAATGAAGAAACAAAGTATGAATATTACATACTATTGATGAATAACAAATGGTTTCTAACTTACGAACCATTTTTGAAATCCAGTGGTACTTAAGAACATGAACTGAGTAGCAACAAAAGTGTACAAAAAGAATATGAATTTGAGTATGGATATTTTTTTAACTGATTTATCCGATACATATTCGTCTACTTGACTTTGAGTTGCACTCTAAACATGAGGGATAGTAGAACTATCTAATTGTCAGAATTGGATTAAATAGGACAGGATATCTAACCTGAGACGGTTTAGTGCTTACAAGTAGAACGCTCTGACTACTCACTCATCGCTGTACGATAATATTTGGTAAATTGTTATAATACAACACTAGTGCCTACCTACATGTATGTTGTCCCGATAAGAATAATGAATGGTAATTTTTGGGATCCACTTATGGACCAATATTATGAGTATATTTTTATCGTATAATTGTTATGCAACTAAACTGTTCATATTCATACCCCTCTTATTATGAGCTTTATGTTGACCTATGAACTACTATTGTACGATTTACCATTCATGAATTATTCCCTATTTGTTAATCGCTACCTCCCTCATTCACAGTCACTTCTGGCTAATTATTGTACAAATGTTATTTTCTATTTTATTGGTACGTTGTGGTCGGGTTGATTGGTATATAAACATAGTATGCTTGAAATACAATGATTCATATCTCAGAGACTGAGACTTGAGTTCTGGACTCAACTGGCTGGGTTAGACAGGGAAGCAAGGCCAATCAGAACTCTAGGTCGTTCTTACGTGTTTTACGCGTCTTTGGTCCGATCGATAATACACTGCTCTCTAATCTTTCAATCAAGGACACAACAATTGGCACGGGGGTAAAAATTGATCCACGTTCAAGTCACAACAATGTAAATGTTTCATCAAGTTCGTTCTGGAAATATTTGTAAATAGATCAGGACAGTAAGAGTTAATGGAATTGCATATTGATCGGTAGGACTACAAAAGATGAGAACCCAAAACAAGAAAATCTAGTTGTGACATTATTAGCCGATCAATTTATTAGTTATATAGAATGACAATAACAGCCGTTGAAAAAAACGAACCATAGCACCAAAAACCATGAAGTTAAGTTACCGTTAGTTATTAGGCATAAATATTGTTATTTTCTTCAAGGATCTAAAACCGTATAAACAATAAAACGTTTTATTCTGTGCTTGTTTCTTGTATAACGATGAGACTGTAATCACGATCTAAGTCGACAAAATAAGAGAAAATAGAAAAAAAGTTCTTAAGTAAGCGAATGGAAGGAAACTAAATAATATATTTTTCTAAAAGTAACTACATGAAATACAACCTGATCGAGTATCGAGACTTGAAGACTTCGGGGTTTGATCTCCGGTGGGGTAGTGGATTTAAACCCAAATTAAGGAATTTCATTCTGCAATTATAAATAGTTGTCAAACGCATCTAACTAAGATCAATCTGTGATATGGACTAAAATTAATGTCAATAATTCGGGACATCAACAAACATAAACTGAATGTCACTATCGGTATATTGTTGGTCACCAGCTACCATGTGACTGCATCTCCTAAACTTGCTCCACTGCCTTGTGGATTAGACTTTCAGGTCAAAGGTTTAGGGTGTGGCCTCCTAAAAAAACCACCTGCTTCGGTTTGGGCACCCGAGCATTATTACAGTCCTCATACAAATCAATGATAACTGCTAATAGCTTCATTGTTATTGTGTGGCGCATATGTATTTGATGCCCTATTTTACTATTGTTTATGTGAATGGGTTTTGTGGAGATTTTTTAGAAATTTCACAGGTTGAAATCATGAGTCAATTGAAGCTACACCACCGTTGGAAACCTGGAAGCACTGGATGGCCGTTTCGTCCTAGTATGGGACTCCTCAGCAATGCGCATCCACGATCCCGCACCCCACGGGATTCAAACCCAGGACCTACTGGGTTCGCGCGCGAGCACTTAACTGAAGTTAAACATTAACACCGTTAGATGCCGGCTCAGTGGTCTAGTGGTTAAGTGCTCGCGCGCGAGACCAGTAGGTCCTAGGTTCGAATCTTGCAGGGGGCGAGGTGATGGATGCGCACTGCTGAGAAGTCTCACAGAGGCGAACGGCATTCCAGTGCTTCTAGGTTTTCCATGGTGGTTTAGCTTCAGTTGACTCATGATTTCAACCTGTGTAATGTTTATGTGTTCAAATAAATAAATAAATAACATTAGATAGCATTATAAATATGAACATAGGTAGCGAAAAAAAAGATTCATAAGATAGACAAATTTTGTTTGTTCATATCTACCAAAGCCATTTGACTAGGATAAATAGAAATGAAACGAGGAAAATTAATTATAAAGAAAAAAAATACTACCTGGTGCTACCATAATTTCATTTCGAGTACTTCGTATACGCAAAAATGTTAAATCATTAGATGGATCTAAATCACGAACAGCAGAACGAGATTTCGCGACCAATTGTTGAATAAGACCACAGTAATGATTTGTGGTACTGTTATCCATGGAAGTTCTTACTGCGATCCCTTAGAAAAGTAAATAAGATATTTTTATATAAGAACCATAAACATTAATCTCAATAATGAATGAGATCAATTGTATCACTGAAGAAGAAGAATAAAGACAATTTAACTAAGAAACTTTTCTTTTCGACACTAGTTTATAGAAAATTATCAAGATAACCAGTCTGATGAATAATAATGATATTAGTATGTAAGAACAGTGTAATTTCATAATAGAAGTATCTGGCCATGAGTTTTAGTTCAGAAATGAGCTATATTTATGTTATAACTTGTGCCCTAATAATACTTAACATAATGATACCATCAATAAGAGAACAGTGATTTATCGACTGAACTAATGACGCATAAACCCGTACGAGCAGTCTAGAGTCCTGATTGGTCCTGCTTTCCGCCTAACCCAGCCAGTTAAGTTCAGAACACCAATCTCAGCCTCTGAGATATGAATCAGGCATTTCAAACATACTGGGCTTATATACAAACCGAACAGACCACATCGTACCATAAAATAGAAAATAACATTTGTACAAGATTTAGCCAAAAGTTGCTGTATTCATGAGAGACTGTAATTGATAGACTGGGCATAAATTAAGAATGGTAAATCGTATAATAATAGTCAATGGGTTAAAATAAAGTTTATAATAAGTAAAATATGAATATGGATAGTTTAGTTACTTAACAATTATACAATGAAAATATATGTATAGTATTAGTCCATAAATAGATTCCAACAGTTACCATTCATTATTCTCGTCGAGATAATAACAACTTAGGAGATGGAAAATATCTAAATCAATATGAACTTCAACTGTAAGGTGTTGGTCTACAAAAAGCTTTGCTTGACCTATGTTTTGTGCTCGTCAACAAGGTATACCTGTAATCTTGGAGAAACTAATACTCCTTGGGAGATTCGATCCTGTGTCACTTAATTTCACAGTCAGATACATTACCACTTAGAGTAATGGTCAAATTACAACTTGATCAGTGTTAAGAAAGACTTGAGATATGTGAAGTTGGCCACTACTTACTCAATGATCAGTCAATTGTAAATATAGTTTAGTGAGATGCTTTTCTGATCACACTTACTTGAGATGGGACACGAAGTGGATATAATAGAAGGATTCAAAGTAATCAATAAATAATCTAACTGTATATTAGTAAAAGTTGTGGAAGCCATAAGTAGTTAGGCTTGAACCTGACCATCTGTTTTGGTAACCAAGATGTTTGTTATATCCTAGTGAAGATTAAATTACGAGTAACTTCTGAGAACTATTAATGGACCAGTATTATATATATATATTCCTATTGTATAACTGTTCAGTAACTAGATTGTGCATATCTATATTTCTCCTATTATAAGATTCATTTTGACCGATAGATTATTATTATTATTATACGATTTACTGTTCTTAATTTATGTTCAGTTTATTGATTCCAGTCTCCCACGTTCACAACCACTTTTTGGCTTGATCTTGTATAAATATTATTTCCTATTTTATGGTGTGATGCCGCCTGTTTGACTGGTATATAAGCCAAGTATATTTTGAGTAAAGAATTTGCATAGTGGAAGCTGTTATTGGCTTTGTGGACTCAACTGGACGGGCCAGGAGGAAAAGGACCAAAAGAACACTATGCTGTTCATAATGATTGATACGTCATTGGTGTGGTGCGGTGCTAAGATAGTATAAGTCGTATTCCGATTGGCGAATAAGTCACGTGATAATAAGCCGGGAAAAGACAACAATATTAACTTATTTTACTAATTCTCCTATTCAATTAAGGATAATTACAATTTAGTGAGTTCGACTCATTTGTTTCTTCTTTATAAACTTGGATTTTTGTTAATATTACGTAGTGACAACTATCTTAAAAAATATCCTACAACTGTCACTCCCAGCATTTATAGAAGCCTGTTAACATTTAATTCTTAACGATATTTACGTTTACATTCTATACTTATATGTATTTATCTATTTAAACACATAAACATTGGTATACGGAGGCACCAAACAGATATGCGCCACATAAATCATTCGATTTGTGTGAGGGTTATGATACTGTCCGGGTGCCCAGACGGAAGCAGATGATTTTCTTAGGGGGCCACACCTGGAGCCTTCAGCCTAATGGCCTGATCCACAAGGCAGTAGAGCAACGTAAGGAGATTCAGTCCGATGGTAGCCGGTGACCAACAATAGGTTCATACACCATTTGCCCCTTTAGGATAATGGAGCTCATGTGTACCATTGGTTTGGAATCAGGGTTTACCAACTCCCCTTAGTGGACTCTCCGTGTCCATCAGCCCGGTTAAAGCGCCGATATTCGCTTTTTATCCTCTCGATTTCGTAGACAACACTCCCACCGCGAGAAGGCAGTGACTAGGACTTTTTTGTTATTATCAGTATGGGGGTTGTGGAGATTGTTAAGTTTTTGGTTGAGATCACGAATTAATTGATGTTAGACCACCGTTGGAAACCTGGAAGCACTGGACGGCCGTTTCGTCCTAGTATGGAACTCCCCAGCAGTGCGCATCCACGATCCCGCACCCCACGGGATTCGAACCCAGGACCTACTGGTCATTGTTGAGCAATCCATCTTTAAAAAATTCCAGATTATGCATGTAGCTGAAGTGAAATATGAATTTATTGTATTCTGTAATCAGTGTCTTCGGTTTATTCAAATTTATTATATGTAGTTAAAATCTAAGCGATTTCAGCTGGGTGGACGGCAACACGATGAGACGTAACATTTGGAGGAGTGAGAAATTATCGAAACGCTTTTATTTTGAAAGACTGCCTCCAAATGCTTCCATATGGTCACGTATATATACTCACTAACTTCTTGCGACGGGGGTATTGCTTACAAAATTAAGGACGGGAAAAGAATCTTCGGCGCTCAAACCGAGTAAGAATGATCCACCTAGAGGAGATATAAAACTCTGACTCCAAAGTGTGGCGCATATATATTTGGTGCCCTCTTGTACCAATATTTATATGTTCAAATGGACATGGGTTTCAGGATCCTAAGGGAACAATTGGCGTACGAATCTATTCTCGGTCACGGGTTTCCATGGGACTGCATCTGACGTTATTTCACTGCCTACTGGATTAGATCTCAAAATCAAGAGTTCGGGGAGTATGTCCTTAAGAAGACCATCTACTTGGGTTTGGGCACTCAGACAATAATTCAATCCACACACAAACAAAATAATAACTACTCTGTGTGGCGTTTATATATTTTAGTGCCATTTTGTGCCAATTCGTGTTTAACTAAACAAATAATAAAACATCACTATCGATAACTCTGGGAAACAGGCTTTGATTTATGACGCCTAGCTAATTAAATGAAAAGTTCCCAACAGACAAAAAAGAATCTACAAAAATAGCCTACTTTCAGACTGAGGCGTACATTTACACATATATCTGAAGTTGTTTACAATAAAAAGGCGAAAGATTTATCCGCAAATGAGACACTCCCAAATGCCCTGGTATGGCCGAGAGTGCGGTGGGTTCGCCCTCCCTCTCGAAATGCTTTCACACGGCCACGCGTATGCAGCCTCTGCCAGGGAAGTCCTACTCACTGCATTCTCGTGGCGTTACTGTTGTTTACGAAAATGAGAGGACGAAAAGCGGATGTCCGGCGCTTTAACCGGATTCCAAACCAATGGTGCACATGGGCTCCAATATCCTGAGGGAACAAATGGTGTACGAACCAATCGTTGGTCACCGGCTACCATGGGAATGTATCTCTTCACGATGCTCCACTGCCTTGTTGATCAGACCTTCAGGTCGAAGGCTCCGGGTGTGGCCCCCTAAGAAAACCACCTGCTTAGGTCTGGGCACCCGGTCAGTATCACAGCCCACACACACAAATATGGTGTGGCACATATATATTTGGTGTCCTCTTGTATCAATATTTATGTGTTAAAATAAATAAATTACAATAAAAACGAATGGATCAATGATTGGTAAAGCTACTAAATATCAGTTATAATGCTTACCATCTGAGCTTACAATAATTGCACCAATAACTCCTTTGTGTGCCAATAATCTTTTAAATGTTTCTTCTACTTCTGACTTAAAAATATAAACAAGTGATTTAGTATGTATTAGCATTGATCATAATTACAAAAGCGTGAAGTAACTTGTTAAACTTAGAAATCTTGTTAAGAATATGGGACAAAAATTCATCCATCTACAATTCTATCTACTAGTGATTAACAGACCAATTACAGCATAACAATACCAACATTTACAAAAAATTAGATATTTTAAGTCGCTTAGCTGATTAAACAAACACTGGAAATTAAGATTTACTAAGTGACTTTAGATTTGTAATATACAATTATCTTGGAAGTTAACGTAAGTTCTAATTAGTTGATTAGTTAGAAGACTGTTATATTGTTTTTTCCTCTCAGTCCATTAGTTAGTTTAAAGCAAGTAAAACTGTTATGTCTTTTATTCTCTGTTAATTATCACGTGACTAAATCGCCAATTAGAACCCCAACTTATTGACCAGACCAATGACATAAACAATTACGAGGAGTCTAGAGTCAACTCCGAGTTCTTAGTGGTCCTCTGAGATAAAAGGTACTCACCTAATCGGTCCAGAACACCAATCTAGGCCTCCGCTATATAAATCACGTATTTCAAACATATGCAATTTATATACAAGCAAATCAGATCGCATTATACCATAAAATAGAAAATAACAATTATGCAGGATCAGGTCAAAAGTGGCTGTGAATGTGGAATACTGTAACTAAGAAACTGAGAATAAGCTAAGTTACGGAAGCTTATAATAAAAGGAATATATATATATAGTAGCAGTTCACAAATAGATCTTAGCAGTTACCATTCACTCATTCTTCGTCCGGATATAATAAAAACAAATTAATTTTTTCAGTCGAATGAACGGAAGGTGAAAAGTACCTATTTACTATAGAGGGATTGTACAAGAAAATAAATACAGGAGAGAAAGCATAGGACATAAGTGTAATGAAAAGATGAGGCTGGAGGTTAAACACAGGGTACCAGGTAAACATTACAAATAGGCTGATGAGGTAATGAATCTTTATCTATTGAAATAGTTGGGACACGTATTTCGTATAGCTAACCACTCTCTGTTTCGGCAGTCAATGTTGTTTGGTGTAGGAGTAGGTTGATAAAAAAGTAGGAGCTGTCAGACCGACGTGACACCAGTCTAGGGGGTTATCGACAAATGGACTGAGTCATTTTGTGAGTATAGACTATCTGGTTAGGGTTTGCGTGATTCCTGTAACTAATGGTTAGGGATATTGTATGATATAGCTCAAAATCAATTGCAATGGTGCAGGAACATCCGATTTTTGTCTTCTTCCAAATTCTGAGCTTCTGGATTCTTCATAACTTTCTTATCTTTTCATCTCACTAATTTACATTTTCTTGGATCATATCTTCGATACCTAATATTTTCAATCACCACGCATGTTGTCACTACGTCTACTATTCTGGGATTTGGCTTGGCAGTTTCATCCCTCTGTGCTAATGGGGTATACCAATTCGAACCGATGTACATGCGTATTAGGCTGTATGTTGTTAATGACTGAAATTACAAAATTCAATTTTGGGTTCTAACACTGAAAAGTGAATACATATATGTGGACCACAACAGTTCGAAAACACACAAATAATGCCGGGTAAGCAATCACAATCAGGTCTTTTAATCGTAGCTCAGGAACAGAATATGTATCTATAGCTAAAAATAATTCATTTGCCAAATACCAATCAAAACTTTAATATATATTGAAGACTCGAGAGTGAAATCGGTTTTGTTTACCTAGACCAACCCATTCAGCTAGTACAAGTTTACGTACTCGGCTTTGAGAAACATGAAGCGATGAGTTTCAGCGCAGTTAGTCTTAAGGTATTGCTTCCTGTACGTAAAACACAACAGACTTAGATACACTTAGTGCGTGCAAAGTTTTTAGATTCATTTGAAATACTCACTAGACAAAACTTTACCGCATGTAAACTATGTCGATCATAGACTCCATGGTTATTGTGAGAAGTCATCTACCACTACGTTAGTGGAAAAGTTAGGTGAAATGAGAAAGTACATATAAACACTGGTTTTTGCTCAAATTTGGTAGGTTTCTTCAAGTTCTTATGTAAATTGGTGGATAGGTAGATCACAGTTCTAATCTTTTTCAAATTACAAGTGACTTAATGTAGCACTTACTAAGGAAAGTATACCACAAGCTTAGTTAATATTCCTATAGCAGTGGCGCGAGGTCCGAACATGTGACTTAGTAGCTGAAAACAGAACGCTCTAACTACTGAGCCAATGCAGCATGGAGTACATACCCAGTTATGGTCAGTGGAAATACTTAGAGGGGTGTCAAGTTCCAACCATTAATATGTTTGAGACGTCACTCAAGGTGAATTAGATGAAGAAAAAAATGATACACTAAGCAAAACTTAGAAATAAAGAGTAAATTCGTCGAAGACTGAACCTACATGATTCAGGATCCCTCAAATGCACAAAGTACTGACTGTCAATGCTAATTAATTCACTGTGGTGAGGAAAACATTATAGTGGACAGGTATACATATATATTTTTGTAGGTTAAAAGACCTGATGGTACTAGGGCCATGAGGAAGTGAAGCGGTTCATTATTTAACGTGGAAAGTTGCCAGACGACTTGCTTTTGTAGCGGTCCTAATTAAGTTTCCTCCCGAAGCTGATTTTTTGGCTAACATCTAGAAAACACACTCAGTCTGCATCCAACCAATTAACTATACACCATCAAATCAACGGTTTTTTTAGTGACATCTGGTTTCAAAAAGCCTGATTACCTTTAGACGAATTCACTTACTCGAAGTCAAAATCGATCAAGAACGAACTTTCTGTGGAACCCACTACTTTAATTGCTCTACCAGACATATTAAAATGGTTGTTGTCAAAGTCCTTATGTCATTTTTGACAGAACATGGAGCGAAGGAATCAAGTGGATTACGACAACTCATAAGATGCTTAGCCGCCATCCGAAGATTCAGTAAATTTATTGTTTCTTTCTTTGAGAAAGACAGAACTACGTGATGACGTCATCGTAATACAAACCACATATATCTAGAGCATTGGAGAGTTGGCCCACAATAAGTTCAAGACTATGTGATAAATATCACTTTTAAATAACGATATACTTCGAAGGTACAACACATACAAATCGTGTGAGATATAATTATATCTCATACATTAATGTATGCTGAACAGATGGATTAAATATTTGGTAATTCCTGATCCACATTCACATATTTATGCTTAATGTCAGTTGCAAATACTTCATAAGGTGATGATAAGATGAAACAAGTTAATAAAACGAACAAATTATAATTAACAACCCGCTTACCATTATCTATGGCGCAACAAATAGGTTGCCGCGGTGACGATGCAGCCGGTTGATAAGTTCGATATCCAATATCCAATTTCTTCTTGACAATCTTGCACAAAACGATCAGTTCCTTTGTTCTTACTTCTCGTCATTTCAATACACTTCCAGCTCTCTGGTAATGTCCAGTTGGCTTTAGCTCAGTCACTCGACTCCACCAACTTTAATCAGCTTGGTGTTCATTTGTGAGTCTTTAAATTTGAGTGAGTGTGTTTGTATGAGAGCAGAAGGGTCTCTGGATAATTGCGACTATCACATTGCCAGATCCGAGGTAGGTTGGCTGCAACATGAAAAGTAATGGAGTGAAAACTTGAGTGCCATGAGGAGACGATTGTTTTAAGAGGTAGATAGATAAATAACTTAATAATCAAGCTAATCAGTTGGTGATGCACAGTGTGAGGAGACCTATATGTGAGGGCGAAAGGGAAATATAGATGATAATTAGTGAGATGGGAATTAGTTACTGATTTGTGATGATGAAAAAGTAGTAGGGCTGCGAAAAATGGATCAGGTACAGCTGATCCAAGGGGGTGATAATCTGTGGATGAGTATGTGTTTATTAAGTTTCCACTTAAAGCTACCTACTGATGAGGCTGTGGTCACTTCGGCTTGGGTAGCATTGCGGATTGGGACAACTCTTAATGAGAAAAAGTGAGAACGTACCAATGTGTTCGCTGTTTGATGTGTAATAGTTTTAGGATTGCCTCGAGTGTGATGTTGATATTCCGGTAGTATGTTTGTATTGAGGTGGTTTGGCGTACTGAAAATGTTTTATGACACTGTTATATCACCTCTTATTCTCTCATTGATCAGCGGGAATAATCACAAGTGTTGGAGTTTGTGTTCGTACTTGTTCAAAGGGGTTTATGTCCTTCTTGGAGAGCAGGTGGGAGCGACGCCACAGTGAACTCGAATGAAGGACCGCGTGTGCGTTTTCAAAAGATTCAAGAACAATCACTTGGTGATCGAGTAAAGTTCTCATCACATAAGGTGAAGAACTGAGTTTAGCTTGGCTTCATACCGTATTTAGTTGGGGTTGTTATCTAGGTTTTCCGAGGTTGTAAGCCTGACCTCATGCTTTAGCGTGACAGTCGGGAGACGGTCGTCGTGTAGGCTTTACTAATGAAACTTAGATAAGAAATATTCTCGTCCCACCAAACTATTTTATTTGTGACCGTGATAAACACGTTTGCACCATAATCAATTCTTCCTATCGGCGGGTGGATATGGAAACTCTCGGATAAGTAAACCATTTCAGTTCGAGGGTTTTCCGACTTTACCTCATCTCGTGTTGTCACCCACATGTTCGGATAGTTCCAAAATTCTCTTTGCATAAAGTGAAGTATTGCGTTTTCCTCTTATTCTCCTGGTCTGTTTCATCACCTGCTGCTCCTCATCATCAGTATAGGTCTTCCGCATTTTAAGCAGACTGTTGTTTAAAGTATATTGGTCAGTTGAGTGCGAACTAACCGTTGTATAATTGGGACTATTTAGGATGTATCATTAGTGGGGCCGTTGTCCCTGCGTGTTTTCTGCAGTTGTCTTACCTAACGTGATATGTTCTAGCAACAACCGATGTTACTGGACAGGTTGTTTTTCGAGTCGCACCAGACCTGGATTGCCTCAGTGAGCTTCTCTCGGTTTCTGAAATTCACAGACATCAGACGCGAATGCACAGCTGTCGTGATGCAGGACGGATAAAGTATCCTGAACGCGCTAATTACCATATTGTTGTTAAGATCTATGCTGCATAATGGCCAACAACACTGTTGCATATCGTGTTTGTGAGCTTCATCTTGACTACCACTGACCAGCTCAGGAATTGCTTGAGCCACCATTCTGGTTGGTTATTGGGTGTTTGTCAATCTTCTGGTCGTATCTCTAACAGCTCAGGATTTGTCGTGCATAACTCGAATTTGAGATGATCGTTTAATTGATGGTCACTGAGATGTCAGTGAAATTTCTTCTGTCACATGTGCTGAGTCCAACGTTACTGTTAATGGATACGATTTCGTTTTCGCGATATTTTGTTTCATATGCAGGGGACACAGCTAGGTTGATGTGATACTCCGTCCCAACATTGTACAGTATTTATCTCACCCTTCTTTACTGAAGACTGCCCTGTTTTCTAGTAACTTACTTTTCAACTCCGGGAATTTATCGTTTTAGTGATATCTCTGTCCAGTGGTCTGTAATATAAATAGCTTAGCACGCCCTCTTCTTTTCTTTCTTGTTTGCTTACTAGTCTAATCAGGAGTAGGAACTTGATTAAGAGTTTGATCTTGATTGCCCAGTTGAAGATATAACCTCGGTTTTTGAGTTGAGTGATCCATTTTGTACACATTATTCAGGGTTTCATTGACTGATGTCGTCTCTACAGATACCGGAATTTTCAACCTACTATAAACCCTTGAATAATGATCTTCATTAATATTTCTCAAGACTTCAACGTAAGCAATCGTGCCAAAGTTATTACTTTGCATGTTATTCGGTGGAGAAAGTACATAATGTTGAATAATTTGAGGGGAAAACACACATGATATAAGTTTAGGTGTAGGAAATTAATAGAGACAATTAAACATATGCCACAGAAGAATAAGGCCTTAAGGACGCTTAAAATCACAAGATTACTCTTGTCCATCCTACTGAGCAACTTCAAGAGGATTTTACATAAGTCCTATGTTTTTAAGGGAATGAATGTTTGTGTAGTGCGGTTGACGTAAAAGTAATGCTTTCAATGCTTACCATTTCAAAAAAGATCAAGTAAAATATAGTGGATTTTCCGGATGTCCATATTTCTTTGTCTTATCTGAAATAGCCTTTTAGAGAGACCTGTTATTTCATTAGTACATTATTTCAGTTAGGTACCGTGTACCTAAATGAAATTCAGTACTTCGGTAGTATTATGTTCTGTGCATCAAATGGTTTGACTATGAAGCATTCACTTTCTTTCTAAATAGTATCTTCAGGATTCAATTCTCATTGAGTTGAACGTTTCAGTTATTTCGTAGATGATAGTTCACAATGACTTTGGTAGTTTTTCCAAATAACAGAAATGGGTAAATTCACAGACTAATTGCCAGATAGCACTGGTTGTTCTTGACTCTGAAGAGGATATGCAAACTGTTGTAGCTGTAAATAAATCCCCAAAATAAATAGCTCTGTAAGTTTTCGACATTCGATGCTGACCATATGTTTTAGTGGACTCATCTAGCTGAAGGCGCTCGGTCAGGCACCAGATCATGTGTGGTAACGCCGTGCTCAACTGCTACTGCAATCGCTAGCCAGATTAGATCAGAGAATTCCGATATATTGGTAATTGCAACATACACTCTTCCGATCTCCTCGACTCTGTCTTTTGATTTCTTTGGGTGAGAACCAATCATATTAGAAGGTGTTACTGGTTGAAGCGTTGTCAAACGCTGAATACCTGTGTCATCCTTCACTGTTTAGTACTCAGCGACCTGCCATCCGGGTGATACTTCACTGGCCCTACATATCATTTGTGATATTCATTGATTTCAAAGACTGAATACTTTGTAATAGCAAAAAGCTACTCTGTTATTCAAAGAAAGTTTGGTTACTTTCGCTTTCTTAGTGATCAATTTGTCAACTACCGGTGTTTACTTGACAACCGGAAGTAGTCGAGATCAGTATGCTTACAAGAAGTATTCATGTCATACTATACTGGCCACATGTAGATAAATATTCGAGTCTGGAAGAACTACGTGAGTACGGTCGGACATATTGCATTTGACATTACAGTCAGGCGAGGAGTACCTTACAAACGCGTTATCAATTCGTACCAACGCCACACACTATTAGTCAATAAAGTCCTGTACACAAGGACCGGTTGGTGGGGGTATCCAGTAGTGTTTATGAGAAAGTTAAACATGGAATATAATAAATAATTAACATGATCAAAATCATCACAGCTCTGAATCGATTCTCACGCAGTATGAGGTACAAAAATAATTTGATATTGAGATATCTCGTGCTATTAATTGTCCCACATTATCTCCACAATTAACCGTAAAATGAGGGCAAGAAACGTTCTGGATTTGATCCTATATCTCATTAGAACGTCTCTCGTTGGGAGAACCACGTGAGTGACATCTAGCCTCTATTTATTTCGTTGCAGATCTTATTATGCAATTAAAGAGTGAGGGTGAATAGCGAAAAAATAAACGTGGTGTAACTTGATCCCTGTAGTTCGTAGCATACATGATCGTGTTTAACTCTTAATCAGCCCCTTTTCTTCTCTCTACGCATTCCCTTTTCACTTGTTTCACATTTCATTCTTGGAAAGTTTCGGAATTGTATTCTATAGATTTACCATTTAGTTGTTAATTATTAAAAGAAATTTTGCATACAGGAGCATCTGACAGTGCTGATGTTCGAGTCTTTCAATAAAATCATCACAAAGCCAGGAAAAAAAGTATGGCTGGAAGAGAAATTGCACCTTGGTGCATGCAAAATTAATGTGTTGTGTGCCCTCTAAGTGAGTTGAAACATGATCTAACGTGGTCGTCCTACCAACTGTCTTTAGCTAGCGGTGCTGTATGATCAGCATCAATATCAAACTCTTAGATAGCTTCTTATTTTGGAGACTTACGAACTTCTATATGCCGATTTATGGAGTACTTTTCGCTACTTTTAACTTAAGCTCACTGTCTGTAATGTCTAAGATTACACTGAATAGTAAATGGAAAATGAAACATGAATTATTACTTCTAAACGTAGTCTGGAGCCTTATCACAAATTTCCAATCATGACTATAAAAACTGGCTACAAATTTTATTTATAAATGATATCTTTCATTGCGACGAACTCTCTCCTCTTTCTGTTTCACTTCTTAACATTTCAAACTCCGCTAATTTGACAAAGTTCGAACAACCAAACGAATCCCCGTTCATACGATAGCTTTCAGTTCGGGAAACCCTAATAATGCGTGGAAGAACTGTTTGACACTTTTACGATAAATTAATCACGAACTATGTTTTAAGCCTGTCATGACCTATTTTTACGAAGAGAACGC